GTTGTACAGCTCGTCAACGAAGAGAAGTGAATTCTAATTACTGTTATAGTTTTTCATGTTATTTTGCTAACTGTTTTTGCGCCCGCAGGTATAGGAACAACGCCAAATTAGTTTCCGAACGATTCAAGGACCGTCCCATGTCACCCGCTGAATCGGTCGTTTATTGGACCGAGTACGTTGTACGCCACAGAGGGGCACCCCATTTAAAATCTCGTGCTATCGATTTGATGTGGTACGAGTATTTTCTGGTTGATGTGATAGCTGCATTTTTATTAATGGTGTTCGTTATTTTGTTTGTCATATATTTTAGCCTGAAAAAGATTTACTTGTGTGCTCTTAAATATTTTCAAAACGTGAAAAAAAAATGTGATTGAGAATTATTACAATATTTGTAATGTATTTTGATAAATTTTCATCGTGATTTTTAACCGTATGAAGCTTATAGTGTCAAAATTATGTCTAATACGAACTGAGTAATTTCTACGAATCGTGTTAGAACCAATCGGTAAATCCACGATTATCATTGACAGATATATTGTCACAATATTATTGTGAGATTTGTTTTGATTTAAGTAAAATCAAAAGTTTTTCAAGACGATTTTAATTTATTAAAACTAAACCATGATTATAAAATAAATTTGCTTCAGCTGAAATTAAATGTCGATTTACATAATATCATTAAATGCGTTCCTATTATATATTGTAATTTTCTTGTCTTTTTAAATTATTTAATGATTTTTTAATCATTATTTTTGGGTTATTTTATGATATTTTGTGGTTCCACAAAAATTACATTTTAATGCTATTTAAAGTATTGTTAGTTTATATTAGTTATGAAATACGAAGATCTGAATTATTCGAATATGTGGTTGTTCGTATCTGGAATTTAATTCTTATCCGGACTTATGAATTTGTTTTTTATACAACTTATAATTACTTTTAATTTCTTTTTAAATTATTTTATTTTATCGTAACAACAAATTAATATCATTTTTTATGAATTTCAGTATACTTATCATGACTTTTATAATTTTTATAACTTATTGTTATAAGTTACCAAAATAACAATTTATTAAATTCTTGAATTTATTTCATACATCTATGACTTACAGTGACATAACCTTTGAATGGTTATTGAACATTTTCTGAAAATGAGTTACATTTATATTCAATACTATATAGGAATGATACAATAACTGTTTTCGATTGATCTACACGGAAAAGTGTTCTTACATTTATCCAATAAAAAATGTATTCATCAAACATCAAAATTGAATTAAATAAACCGGATAATTCATGAATTCCGGATATACCAATTATTAATTTATACAGTACAAGGATGTCAACAGAAATTGTTCTAGATAGGGGGTACATTAATTAAAATAATAAATTAAGATTTTTTTGTGAAAAAAAAAATAAGTTTAATGAATTAATATATAATATTAAAATATCATATTTGCATATATGGGTCTAAAATGTATAGGTTTTATACATTAGTGTTTTTTGTCGTTATTTTAGTACTCAATATTTTTAATAATAACATTTAATTAATTTATTATAACTAGCATTATTGTTGGAGATACTTACGTACATTTTATTTATTACAATATTCTTTCTCATCATATACAAATTTTAATCTATAGGTAATTTTCTATCAAATGATGTCAGTGCTTTTTCAATTATTTTAATACTTATTATGTAATTTGGCCAGGGTAAATAGTGTTTGAACAGATTTAAAATTCTAGATGATGGTTTAGTGCCTCTTTGTGCTCCCTCTGTGGATACACATGATATAGTTGTAAGCATTTTTAACAGGGCTTAAAATCGTTCTAGAATTATAGGTAATCGGCTCCGGAAGTAGTCAACATTTTATTAAAAACTGGTTGGATGATCTATGTAGATTTATATTTGTATTTTACAGAAAAGAATAATGTAATAAATAATATTTATGTAGGTACCTATTTATAATAATAATACTAAGCATTATAAATTATTTAAATATTATTATTGAAGAAGTATTCGACAATTATATGAGGTTCTAAGTATGACAAGAGCTAGAACAAACGTCATTATTCTAGCTGATTAAAATGTGTTAATAGGAGAACAGAAGGCCGGGGATATAATAGAAAATTATGGTTTAGGAAAAAAAAATGAAAGAGGCTAGAGGCTAATACAAATCTATACGTAGCACAAGTTCATGTAAGTGAACACCATAGAGAGTGCAACATATGTTCCAGCGCCCTCATTGCCAATTATAAAAGCTGCTCGTCCTACAAAAAAGGGTATTTTGGTTCACGACAAGAAACATCCATCGATTCAAATAGATGTAGAATCAATCATTAATTTAAAGTTTCTAGGACACAACTAGCTTATATTCTAGACGTTACCTTTCAGTCAAAAATGAAAACATACGCTGAAACCTCTTCGAACGAAAATGCTCCTTAAGTAAATTTGTTAACAGTGCTATCGTAGTTAATATTGAATTTAAGTTCTTTAAAGTCCATTAATAAGTCAATTCTTCTTTCTGATGTACTACATAAACGTTATTATACTTTATAATATAATCTTTAGCAATTTTATAATTCATTTTTAATATAAATAATCACATTCATCATCACGTTGATTATATCAATAAGTTTTGGTTAATTATATTAGCATTTTATTATATTATAAATGTTTAGATATTAATTCTTATCTCATTATATAATTTGCAGATATTACATATATTTTAATCTATGTGTGGTATAATAATAACTGTCGAGTACTAAAGGTACATAAAGAGTCCATTTTAATAATTTATCGCTGAAATCGAATAAAAAAAATAAAAATTCATTAGTATTTGTATCTTATCATTTATATTGTTGTAAAATAAATGTATGTCTACATATGTTTTCGTTATGTAAAAGTTTTATTATTACACCTACACATGTATTAACAGCTTATCGACGAACATTGTAAACACATTTGTTATGAATTAGGTTATCGATTTCTGATTTGATCGACGTTCGCGTTCTACTTTACTATATTCATATTTAAATGTTAACATCTATTAATATTAAATGTAAATGGGCATTATTAGCGTTTAATGTATTGTTTATTTTTTTAAAGACAATTCGTTTCGCCGTAGTCGCTATGTTACGTACAACGTATAACGTTAACAGGCGCTCTATAGATATCTTCACCAAGTTATATACTTTTATTTTTCAACATTATTCAATACTCTCATGTTTTATCAGCGTCTAGATTAAACGAACATGTGAGTCAATTTAAGGCCGTAAATATCATTCACTGTTAATAAAAATTTTTCTAGATTTTTTTGTGGTACCTAAAATTCATCGATCCATCGTTAACCAGTTGTGCAAAATGATTCCTAAGTAGTTAGCATTTTGATTTCGATTACAACATTTTATAAGATCGTGCTGTAAATATTTTATAACTATAGTCGTGACCATTAAATTACTGTTTTGAATAAATTTTTCTTTTGAATCTTTTCAAAAAATCAATTTGATTTTATGCCTGGAAAATCGACAATGGAGCCATTATATTGTGTTAGACAACCAATAGAGAAGTTTAGGGAAAAGAAGAAAGAATTATGTATGGTGTTTATAGATTTAGAATAGGTGTATGACAGAAGGACAAGAGAAGTTTTAAAGTGGGCATTAATGAGAAAGTAGGTTCCAAAAGTATATATAAATTTGATACAGCATTTGTATGAAGGCGCGAGAACTAGAGTAAAGAGTTTGTGTGGAATAATATAAGATTTTAAGGTAGGAGTTGGTATTCATCAGGGGTCAGCTCTAAACCCTTTTTTGATTTCTGTTATAATGAATGAAGTCACGAGAGACATACAGGACGAGATACCATGATATATAATGTTTTCTGATGATATAGTTTTGGTAGGAGAAAATCTGGAAGAAGTTAATAATAGGGTGGATGAGTGAAGGTTAGCCCTTAAAGGAAAGGGATTGAGAATTAGTAGAAATAAAATAGAGTATATAGAGTATAACTTTGGAGGAAGATACTAAGAATTTAGGGTACAAGGAGACCAATGACAATACGTGGTGAAGTGATAGGTGTAGTCGAGAACATTAAATATTTAGGATCATTTGTACAAAAGGATGGGAGTTTTAGCATGGATATAAAACATAGAATTAAGTGCGGTTGGATGAAATAGAGAGAAAAGTTGGCATTTAATGTGATAAGAGAATTCCAATAGGGCTGGAAGGTAAATTTTACAGGAGTGTAGTGAGATCAACTGTATCATATGGTTCAGAGTATTTGGTAATTGATAAGATAATATAACATAGTATGAGTGTTGTGGAAATGAGAATGCTTAGATGGATAAGTGGAGCGACAAGAGAAGATAGAATAAGGAACAAATATGTGTAAAGCACTATTGGTATAGCGTCGATAGTGAACAAGATGAGAGAAATTTACTGAGATGGTTTGCGTGTGTAATGAAAGGAAACAAAAGCAGTAAGAGTGGTTATGAAAATTAGCGTTGAAAGGAAAAAAAGGAAGAGGAAGAACAAAAAATAGATGATTGGATATGATTAAGAATGACATGAGGGCTGTTGGTGTATTCTTAGGGAATGTGGAAAATCGAGACGAGTGGAGGTCTAGGACAATGGAGGCCGACTACAAATAAATGGGAGACAGGAGAAAGAGAAGAAGAATTAATTTTTCAGATAATATAATATATGAGCTATAAATTTATTAAAAATCATAAGTATAACAAAATTATGACCATCTTTAAACAAAGTAGTATTGTTAAATTTCAAAAATAATTGTTTATACAGTGAAATTCTCAACACAGACATGCTTCAGAGATTGTGATTTGTGGCTGTGCGATTAATATGAAATTATTTTCGCTACTATCCGTAAGAAATAAAGGTTCAAAAATGTTAAACCAAGCGAAAGGTTGAGTCAATACGAAAACAATCAGAGTAGTTATACGACAATAGTGCATGTGTAGTTAAAAAATCGAAATACTCGTAAAAACTTATGAAAAAATATTGATAAATGTGTATTCGACACGTCCGACGATAACAGGTCCATGGTTCACGCAAATACTCAATACTACATCAAACACGTAAACGAAACACGGAGAGTGATGCTGATACCTGTATAAAACAACGTGTAAAAGCTAAAGTCGAACAGTCGCAATGCTTATCTCGTTGTTGAACCGGACGAAATACGATCGTTCGTGTGTTTGACGTTGTTGCTGCTGTCGCTTTGTTTACATTTGATCAACGGAATAATTAAATCCATAGCCATGTCACCGAACAATGGTTCAGCGACAGCGGTGCTCGTCGCACTGTTGTGCGTAGCAGCCCTGGTACCGGCACCGGCGACGGGGGCGATGAACGTGTTGGCGGTGCAGACCGTAGCGGGTAAGAGCCACTGGAACGTGATGAGCGCGGTGCTGCGCGCGCTGACCGACCGCGGGCACAACGTCACCGTGTTCACACCGTTCTTGGACGGCGACCGGGACCGCTATACCGAGGTACACGTGCGCGACGGCGTCTTGATGGGCGCTGTAGGGATGGACGCGATGGAACTGATCCGGGACATCGGCACCACGTCAGCCGTGATGACCGTAATGGCGAACTTCACGCGAGCTAGTTGCGAGACGATTTTCCAACATCCTCGGATGGCGGACACCCTGCGCAACGGCAGCGGTTCCTCGGCCGGCTTCGACGTGGTCGTCATCGAGCCAATGCTGTCCGAGTGCGTGTCATACGTAGCCACAGAGCTACGTGTCCCGTTGATTTACGTCGTACCGTCGCCGATCCTCACCTACTTGGAACGCTCGTTGTTCGGTCACGTCCCCAATCCCGCGGTCGTCGCACATGTCCTGTCTAGTCACGGCGTGCCCAAAACGTTCACCGAACGCTTAACCAACACACTGCTGACCGTTCACTGTTCGTTAAGAAAGTGGTACGCTGAACGCCGGCAAAGGCTGTCCAATCCTCAACCGTTCGACCGGGTCGATCTCGTCAAACCGTCGTTGACGTTCACCAACACCCATTTCATCACCGAGCCCGCTCGGCCGTTGACGCAAGACATCGTGCAAATCGGCGGCATACACCTCGCCCAACCCAAAGGGATACCAAAAGTAAGTGTATTCTAATCAAAATGTCTGATGCATATTCACGCATTGGCCGCGAACGTTTCATCGTTTCTTTTTGTTTCCGAAACGTATACTTGAATTATGTGGTGCAGCAGTTCGTGGTAATTCGATGGTCAACATAATATAAATTATTAATTTGATTTTCTTAAATATATTCGTGAATGGTTTCGACTGTGAGTGTTTTTTTCGTTGCCCGCCTATCGTACTTGACATTACTGGTTAAAATATTATTGATAAATACGTATATGAAATAGTTTTAATACAGAGTTTCATTTGTTTAAGGATTATTTATGTAATTGGTAGATTTTGTGAAACTAATCGAAAGAATCAGGTTGTTGCGACTTATCAATGTTTTTAATCTACATGTTATATTATGTAAATCAATTTTTTTAAATTTACCGTTCATTCTATCTTGTGAAGTATTTTATATCCTTCTATTATCATCAATAACCAAATCTAATTTTCAGGACATTCTGGAATTCATCGAAGGATCTCCACACGGAGTAATTTATTTTACGTTCGGGTCTGTAGTGTTGATGTCGTCGCTACCGGAGCACGTTCAGAACGCGTTTAAAGAAGTATTGGCTCAAGTTCCACAGAGGGTTTTATGGAAGTACGAGGGTGAGATGAAAGACAAACCGGATAACGTGATGACCAACAATTGGTTTCCGCAACGTGACGTGTTATGTAAGGCATTAAAACATTTACTGTATTCGAGATGCATAACGCGCAATTGTGATAAACGTATTTAAATTTAATGCCGTACCTACATGTATAGTGCATCCTAAAGTGAAATTGTTCATCAGTCACGGTGGTATATCAGGAGTGTATGAAGCTGTAGACGCTGGCGTACCCGTACTAGGATTTCCGTTTTATTTCGATCAACCGAGGAATCTGGAAAACTTGGTGGACGCAGGCATGGCGATTTCCATGGACCTGTT